CACACACACATTTTTGTGCATCTAAGGCTCATTTATTTCATGTTCACTTGTATTTGAAACCCAGCTCCTATCACACAGTAGGTACACAATAAATACTTTTTGACTTTTTTGTGGCTAACTTTACATTTTTTTTGCAATAAAAATAGTTTTCCCAAAAAGAATAAAAACCAAAACAGAAACTTAAACCTCCAAAAGTTAATGTGTTAGTTGTTCTTCTCAGAAATAATGATTTGTGGGAGGCTAAGGTGGGTGGGTCACAAGGTCAAGAGATCAGACTATCCTGGCCAACATGGTGAAACCCCGTCTCTACTAAAAATACAAAAAAACATAGCTGGGCATGGTGGCACACCCCTCTAGTCCCAACTACTCAGGAGTCTGAGGCAGGAGAATAGCTTGGACTCAAGAGGCGGAGGTTGCAGCGGGCCGAGATCGAGCCACTGTACTCCAGCCTGGAGACTGGGCGAGACTCCGTCTCAAAAAAAAAAAATTTTTTTTTGTTCTGCTTCTCATCACACCCACTCAGGCTCTTTCTAGGGCTTCACTGAACAGCTCCTAAGATGCAAGTTCCCTTAAATTCCTACAGGCGGTGGCACTACCAACAATACTTCTCTATTCTTCCTTTGCCTTCAGATGCTCAGACTTGGGGTTCCTGTATTCCGAAAGCATCTGCGTTTATTTTTCTACCAGAGATTTTTGATTTGCCCCAAAGGAAGGTTTTTCCCCCCCCCATTTTATGTGGTGTGAGGGATAACTAACTATGAGAATGGTCTAAATGGCATCTCCAAGGCCAGGGGAAAGCTTCTGATGGAATTCAAAATTCAGATCTGAAGCTTATGAATACGGTTACTGGGAGTGATTGACAGATTGAGGCCAGGTATCAAACAGACCTCAGATATTGACAGAACCTCTTCTCATTGGAATGACCTCTCACTAATGTGGGCAAGTGATCAATTACTGTGTACCTTCACTACCTTCAGAAACTCTCCTAATATTCCCTAATTCCATCTAACAGTATTTTTCCCCCTCCAAACCACACAATAGCCCTTGACTAGGAAATTAAAGTTTATTTTCAATTTCCTCAGGCAAAGCAAAAGCAAGGGTGAATTAACAGTCTGTAGCTTTCTGGGACTAGAAAAGCATTGAAAATGTAGTGAGGAGTCACAATGTAGGAAAATTGTCCAAAGACAATGCAATATTTAGCTGATGGTAATCTCAGAAGATCTACTGGCAGGATAGCAGCAGTTGGATGAATGGGCAATATCTCTGGGAACAAAGGAAAAGAGGAGAGGGGAGGCAGTTATTGCAATGACGTAGACCAAGAAAAAAGCCATAGTTTATCTGTCTATACCAATCTTAATATACTAGACAACACAATATCTGTCCATTTCACTGGGTCCAAAATAGTCAACTCACTGTCACATGTAATTCGCTCATTGTAAAGTAATAGTTTTCTGTCTTTATTTCTCACCTGAATATCTTCTGTTCCCAGCCCTTTCTTTTGAATAACATCATTTTTTTCTTACCATAACAATAATTCTTGCATGTATCTATTCTACAAATTTTTATTGAATTTCTACCATGAGCAGGCAGTATTTGAAGTACAAAGGAAAGAGTGGGCAGTGAAAAATGGTCAGGGACACAGGTTAATTAAAGAGATAACTACAGTTCAGTGCTATGATGCAAGAATGTAATAGAGGCTCTCAAAACACAAAGGTGGGGCCTAACCCACTCTGAGGAAGGCTCTCTGGAGGAGGCAATAGATAAGCTAGTTTTGAAGATAAAATGCCCTAGATGGTGGAAGAAGCATCCTGTAACACCTGTGATCCCTCTTAGATAAAAGGGCTGAGCATATATGTGTGTTTTCCCTCAGTATTTTAAACACACACACACACACACACACACACACACACACACACACACACAGAGATTAGATTTATAGATAGAATAATTATCTAAATGTACATAGATTTATGGAACTGTGATCTATATAGCATTCAATGTTGTTTTTTTTCCATGTCTTTAATATGTGTTGAAAACATGGATTTTGATAGATTAATAATATTATATTTAATAGGTGTTTCATAATATATTTGATCATTCTCTGTGTCTGTCAGAGTTTTTGTTTGTAAGCCACAGAAAACAACACTGGTTATATTAAGCAGAAGATGAATTTACTGGAATCATATTAGGTAGCTCTAGGACCTATGGGAGGCCTGGAAAAATAGGCTAAGAAAAGGGACAGAAATCAAAATAGGCTCAGCAGTGGGACCTCTAGCCAGGGCTGACCACAGAAACAATCTGTCTCTGGAATTTACTTAGGTTTTAATGTTCTAAACAGGGGCATCTTGCTGACCAAGCCTAGGTGATGTGTCCTACTTTACCTACAAGAGGACAGGCAGTATGAAGGATTGCTCTGTTTGATTCTGTAGTGAGAAGGCCCTTACTCCCATTAAGAGTCCCCAGTAGGGTCTACCTCTCAAACAGGATTTAGGATGTGGCTAGCAGGAAACCACCAAGAACATCTTACTACCTCCCCGTTGTTAGATGTTTGGGTTGTTTCCTTTTTTCCCCCTTTGATATTGTTTTATAAAGCTATGAAACATATTTTTCTGCAAAATTCTTGACTACCTCTCTGATGATCTCTTTAAGATAAATTCTCTAGAAATGTAATTTCTGGATGAAAGGGTATGAATTTTTTTCATCTCTTAGTAAATACTGCCAAATTGCTTCTCTGAAAAGTTGCATCAATTCAAGCTCACCAGTGGAGTGGGTATGAGGTGTGCATGGTTTCTTACCCATCCTTTTTAGAAATCATCACGCCCACGCCTTTCTAGGCTGTACTCATTTGTGCAGCCTGTACCTCACTTAAATTATGGTTCTCTGAAGTTGAAACACTTAGTGGCAAAGTGAATAATTGAGTAAATAAGTTGTTTATTTTTTTAAGTTTATTTGTGATAATTACTTTTATTGATTTTCTTCCTCATTAATTTGATTAATACAGGGGCTTCTTCTTTTAATATGCTGTAGAGAAGCTATTTCTTTTTCTATTCTGGAAAGAGCATTTACAAAGCAGCAAGTGCATCTGAAATAACAAAAGATTGAGTTCTAGAAACAAGGTTCTAGAGGGTGCTCACCCTGCCTCAGTAGGTGACTCTCATGGACGCTGTCCAAGGTATCTCTCAGACGTCCTGGGAACAGGGGCAGAGCTCATCTCCAGAAGCAGGTCCTTTCAGCAGCCATAGCAGTGATTCAACTCCTATGGCCCTCAAGTTGGATGAACACAAAACCCAAAGAGGTGATGAAATATTTCGTGACCTTTCTATTAACTTAGAGGAACACCTTTCTAGCAACAAATTGAAAGGCATGAAAAATATTAGGGCCTGGGCTTCCATCAAGAGAGTCCTAATGATGCTCAAAAAGGACCGCTTGATAAGGAATCAAGCACAGGGGATTTTGGGGACAGTGTAACATCATATGGAAATTGAAGTATCATAATTTATGTGATACTGTAATGATAGATATGTAATGTCACACTTTTGTTAATACTCATAGACCCATATTGCACAAAGAGTGACCTCTAATGTAAACCGTAAACTGAATAATAATGTATTGATATTGATTCATTATAACAAATGCACCACACTCATTCAAGATGTTAATAATAGGGAACAATGTGTTGGGGTAGGGGACTGTATATGAGAACTCTCTACTATCTGCTCAATTTTTCTGGAAATGGAAAACTGTTCTAAAAATAAAGCCTATTAACTAAAAAACATTTCAAAAATACACACAGAGAAATAGAGTATATTCAAAAGGCAGCACTTGACAAGGAGTCTGAACCCTGGAACACCGGTCCTACTTTGTCATTCACTAGCTGTGTGGTTTTGGAGAAGTCACTTCACTTCTCTGGATTTTACCATAGGGTTGGACCACATGATTTTTAAAATGATTCCCCCTTCTGATAATATAAGATCTCAGGATTACTTAGTTTAGATTTTTCACCCTTGTCCAGACTTTGAATGTCAGTTGTAATCAAAACATGCCTTTCACTTTGCTGTCTGGCAAGAAATAATGGAATGAATAAAACACAAGTCTTTCCCACTTACCTGGGGGCTTAGAAGCCTCTCTAGAGCCGGCAAGACCTATATAAAAGTCAGTCATAAGACAAATAAGGCAAGCTGATGTTTTTCCAGAGAAAGCCACTTTTTTTCCTCTTTGCGTAATTTGATGTTAATGATCTGCCCTTGTTAAGTTCTCTCCCACTTGTAGATGTTTACACAATGGGTTATAACTATATAGTTTTATTGTTGGTCATTAACCATGGGTTAACCTTTTAAATGGACTTATGTGGCTTATTAAGTATGCAATTCATGACAACTAGAGATAAGTCCTGATTTTGGATCACGGGTATGAACCATCTCTGGGCGTCTGTGCTTGGCAGGTAGCCAGCTTGATGCTGAGCTCTGATTGGTTGGATGCTCTTGGGACCATGTGACCTCAGGTCCAGGCAGTAGTGCACGTTCATGGGCTGGTGGGTTGAGGTAACCGCGCTGGTCTTGAAGGAATGTCGATCTCACTGGAAAGTGTATATAGCAAAGAATAATTTTCAATTTTCCCTAAGTAAATATCTGGCAAAGCCTAGAATTGGATCATGTCCAGTTCTGCAGATAAAATGCCCCCAAACACATTTCCCCTGAAGAAAGTCTGAAAATATATGCACATTTATATTTTTCTAATTTAAGCAAATCTCATTAATGTGAATAATGCAGAATAATGTACAATGATGTAGTGGTTTATATTCTCATGCTAGTCTAGAAGGGAGTTCATTATGGTCCAATAGGAGGTTAGCACTTACTGAAACTCTTTCTATATGAGGTCTTTATACATGTAAGCTCCTACTTAGGCCAGGAATAGTAAATACACAGCAGCACTTGTGCCTCAACTCTTTTTTCTAAGCTCAAAGCAGACATTACTAATGTAAATGACATTCCTTCCTGCAGAAACAGCCAGTAGAAGTCGAAGGGGGCTTTCAAGAAGGATGTAATGAAGGCTTGTAAGAATAACCTCCCTACCAATGAAGTCAACAAGCCTATCTTCACGGGAAGCCACCTTTCCTGGAGAAGAAATCTTGCTTCTTGGAGACAACTGCCTTTAAGCTCATGGATTAATGTACCAGGATGTTAAATTGACTTTCATTGTATTCTTGGAGCTTTAACTGAGACCCCAGAACAGAGGTCAGTGATTATTAAGTACCCAATCCTTTCTGGAAAACATAGATCCTAGATATATCCTTGGGAGGTTACTGAGAGAAAGCAAAATGGTGCCTCATGTCCATCATTCACATCCATCCTGTATAAGAGAAAGAAGACCAGACATTTTAAAAGATAGGATTAAATGAAGGGATGTTTTAGGAGTGAGTAATTCCCCCTAACTACCTTTACTACTTCCCGGCAAGTAAAAGAGCTGCAAGAGTAAATGGTGGAGGTATTTGGGATGCATTAGTCTGCCTAGAAGACTCTGAAAGCTGGAGGCTGGCGGAAAATGGCCGTGATAGTTGAGCTAGGAGAGAGGGTGGCAGTAGAAGCAATAGGACTTATATCATTTGTAGGGCAAGATAAATGGGTTTTCCCATGGGCTGAGTAGGCAAAGTAGAGGGCAGTCAGCCTCAGCCTCTCTGAAAGGGCTGAACCCCAGAGGGCTGCCTGTCTGTTTCTTTTACCCAAATGTCAGTTCAAATGGTACATCCTCAGAGATGCCTCCCCTGACCACCTAAGCTAATGTAGTGTTCACTGCAGTCACACAGTATTACACCACCTGGTTTATTTCCTTGATACCACTTACAATATAAAATTCTGTTTTCCTTTTTTAGTTTATCTGGCTCCTGTCTCAAATTTTGCAGGGAGAATTAGAGGTAGAGAAGTGAGGATTTGGGGAAGGAATCTCAAAGAGGACATTCTTTACAAGATAAAATCATCTTATTAAATTTAAGTTTAATGAAAGCAGGACCTTATTCGTCTTATTCACCACTATTCCAGGTACTTGGAACAGAACCTGGCACATAGTAGCTACTCAACAAAAGTGTATAGACTAAGAAAATCTCTGCCAAGCACAAGCCGTAGGAGATAAATAGACATCAGTTGGTTCTGAGAATGGCAATTTTCCAGTCCATGGCCTGCTTGTAAATGCCTGTGTTAAAAGGATGTAGAGGTAGAAACAGGTAGGAATTATAAACTGGAATAAATGTTTGTCCTCTTCGAATTTCTATTATGCCTATGGTTCACTGTCTGGATAAGCATGAAGTAAGACTTTAGAGAAGTTTTTTCCTTCTTCTTTCCTTCTAGTCTCTCCTTACAATCTGCAAAGTCTGCTGGCCCCTGGAAACTGACATGGGCACTTAGCTGGTTTTGATTGATTGGGTTGGCAGTGATGAGCTCTCACTGGCCTTGATATGCCTACAGGCTTCAGGGAAAGTTGAGCCCCTGCCCAGATGTTTGGAGACAATTTGGGAAGGTGGAAATATACAAAGGACATGCATTTGCTAGTGTTATTTATGGCTTTTGTGCACATCCTCCTAAGTAATGTTAAGTTAAAATTGTTTACTTTAAGCAAGTTTGTGTCTTCAGTGATTAAGACTCCCAAAAAACAAATTTATGGAAAAAACATGGGTAAACCAGGGCATTTTGAAAGCCATTCATTTCCCATGTTTTTGATTAGAATCACAAATTAAATCTCCACAAACCTAGTCATATAGTGAAGTGAGAAATTACAGCTTTTCCTTTCTGTAAGAATTTTTTTTGAAAGCTTGAAATAAAAATAAAAATACATTTAAATAGCACTTTGCTGTTTACCAGCACTTCTACCGATATTATATCGGTGGTTGAAAAAAGATAAATTATTTAGTAAACTTTAAACTGATGAAGTCATAAAGCTGGAGAAACTTCTGGGCGTTCAGTCAATAATGGATGTTTGAGTTCAGTGTGGAGACAGAATCGCCATAGCATGTCTTATTTAGAATTGAGATTATACATCAGGTTGACCTTGAATCATGGATCAGATAACAGAAAGTTAGATAAGTCTGCTTTGAGAACTAAAAGGCCCTAAAAGTGCACTCAGATCCATGTTAAGATTTGCGGAGCCCAGGATAAGACTAATAGAGAGGTCCATTTATATATGTATAAATATTTAAAATGTGTAAATAAAGCCAGAAAACTGTGAAATTAAAATATAGTCCATCCTCCTACCTTGACAAGTAGAACTTCATGACTCTCTGGAAGGCCAGTTTTGAACTGCAAATTCTTGGATGCCTCAGGTAGATGTCTCTGATAGAATGAGGCAGGGTCAAAAGAGTCTCACTTGGGTTGCACCTCCTTTCCATTCCACTTCAAGCTCCGTCTTATACCACAGGGGCCTCAAGTGCAGGCAAGTGCATATCCCAACCCCACATCCAATCTCTGTCCACACCTTTTCAGGAAGGTGGGTCCTGGGGAAGAGGCCTGCTTGGTCCTCAGAAGTGAACTCAGGGCCATTAAGTCAGGCAGTTCCAGGCTGCTGGGTACTTAGTATGAAGACGGTGGGTGCAGACACTGGGTGGACATGTTTCCTTGTGCCCTGGGAGTCCTCACTCCATGAGGAGACGTATAGTTAGAGGAGGAAGCAAACAGCCTTCTCTAAAGTACAGGAACCTGGGCAGGGCCCCTCGTGCCTGGATCTAAAGGTGGCACTAAATTCAATGATAGTGAGTGCTATGGCCTGAATGTTTGCGTGCCTCCTGAGTTAATGCATTAAAATTCTAACCCCCAAAGTGATGATATTAGGAGGTGAGGTTTTGGGAGGTGATTAGGTGAAGGGAGTAGTGCCCCTTATAAAAGAAGCCTGAGAGGGACCTTCACCCCTTTCTCCAGATTAGGTTATGATAAGAAGACAGCTGTCTATGAACAAAGGAAATGGACCCTTATCATAGGCCAAATCTGCCAGTGGCTTGATCTTGGACTTCCCAGCCTCCAGAACTGTGAGAAATAAATTTATGTTTTTCATAAGCCACCTAGTTTTGGGAGTTTTTGTTGTAGCAGCTCAAATAGACAAAGACAGTTGAAATTAAACTGAGCATTGTTTGCTTCTCAACTTTCATCTTAGGTAGTCTTTCCTTTAAGTAAGACATTTGTAAATGCTGTACTACCTAAAGCTGCCCTAACCAAAGACCTATTTTAAATGACACCCAATTTAATTTAAAAAAACATATTCGAAAGGGGGTCCACTTGAAGAATTCAGTCGTTAGCACAAATGAGCCAAAATTTGAAATAGAAAACAGATAAAGCATTCTATCTTTAGTCTAGACAGATGAACTAAAAGAGCTGTAATCATAATAATGTCTTTGAAAGTATAACTTAGTGTTTCCAAAACAGTTTCACTTACGTATGTATCATTGAGTTCTTATGAAATTAAGCATCAATTCTTTGAAGTTTAAAATATATATACTCTAAACAAATATAAAAAGGAACTCTTGACACTGTGAGGACTCTGTTAGCCAAGGAATGGTGGAAATGAGAGGTGGAATGATGCAGAAAGAGAAATCAAAGGCAGCAAACATGCTTCAGCCTGGGCTAACTCTGTCTGATCTTTGGATAGTGGCCCCTGAAGTGCTTGACTGAGAAAACCTTAGGTCATGCCTGACCTCGGTGGTTAGTAATAAATTAGCCACACCTGTTACAGTGAAGGAAGAGGCCACGATGGCATGTGAGCCATGAATGTGCCACTTCTGGGCTGGACGAATGCATGTGGCTGACAGTAAGGGCAAGCAGGATGCTTGGGGTTATGCTTAATCCTTTGAAGTAGTTGGCAAGGAGAAAAATCAATGCAAATTCTTAACAAGAATTCTCATGTTCTTGAATATTTCTGTCTTTCTCCAGCAAAAGCAATTCATTTCAGCTTTCTTTGAAAAAGAAACTGCTTTCGACTTACTTTCTGATATGGAAAAGAGATGAGATAGACAGCTGTTAAGGTGTTAATTGGGGCTAACTGGATGAATAGAAGACGTGGATTCTCTTCTCATCTCTGTCACTAACTAGCTGTGTGACCTTGAGCAAATCCCTTAACCCCTCCAGACCTCTATTTCCTTGTCTCCAAAATAGGGATATTATCTGAGTGATCTCTCAGAACTTCGTGAGGCTTACAGGAGTTAGTAACAAGGCAATCACTTGAAATATAAAACATTACACCATTGTAAACCATTACCATTCCACTGAAAAATGAGCAAGTAAGTCTAGGATAGCATTTCCCAAAGTGTGTTTTTGGAACATCAGTTCTATGGGATGTCAACAGGTATGTGCTGTCTAACAAACAACAAATGAAAAGTGCTTTCTGGACAAATACATTTAGAAAACTCAAGGCTAAACAAGCTAACGTAGTTATTTACCACATAGATTATTAGTCTTTTTAATGTGCATGTGGATCACTAAAATTAAGAAATTATATGCAGTAGTTCAGACACTTCTTAGGACATAAAACTCTTGTTTTCTCAAAACATTAGTTCTTCAGAACACAGTCCTTTGGAAATTATTAAACAATCTACTCTTCAAGTTCTCTTCTGACTTGAAGGCCCTCTGATTCATTTATTTATTCAAAAATATTTATAGAGTCCCTATTGTATGCCAGGCACTGTTCAGTGTAAAAAAAATACATCAGTGTACAACACAGAGAAACAAATCCTTGCTTTCATGAAGCTTACATTCTAGCAGAATTTGACGTCACTCACTCAAAGTATACTCATGCTTAGAGAAGTGACTGCTATCCCTTAACTCAAAGACACAAAATTGTAAAGTAGAATCATTAAAAATAGACGAAGACCAGTGGGGAATGATAGTTTGCAGAGAAAGTAGGGAAGACTATGTGTCACTCTGGCTGTCTATCCCTCAGCCTGTGAGTTGAGGTTAAATTCTGAACTCAGATCTGAAGAAGTAGATGGCTGCTGCATCAGAGGTCACACAATCCCATTTGTTTATTTATTTTCATGTTTATTATTATTGTTCATTTATTCATTCATGCCACTATTCAGCACATAGTTATAGGCATGATATATGTCATACTTAACAGTATAAGACCCAATTTGAACCCCCAGAGCGGGCTTCCAGGTGGGCAGGCAGATCAGGTCATGGGAGATTGTGCCTGTGTGTTGTATGTGCTATGGGGGAGAGGACAGCATGATATGGGGCACATTGCTGGGGCACTGAACCCTAGACATCAGAGAAGGCATTTTAAAGTGATGTTGAATCGGAATTATCCAGAGGGCGGTAGGAGTTTGTTTAGCAAACTGACTTAGGGTAAGTCAAGGGAAACGGTGAGTAGGAGAAACGCTCTAGTTGGTGGACACAGTATGTACCTAACAGAACTCCCATGGCAAGTTTAAACAGTGAAACTGGCATGAAAGACAGATGTATATAGTAGAGTTCTGTGTATGATTCTCTCTGAAAAAGGGTTCTGTTGTTGAAATAAAACTCGAAAATCATTAGTGGTTTCCCAAAGGAAATTTTTGAGGCTACGACCATGTTTATAATTCTTAAATTCTACTGCTTACAGAAGTCTTTCTCTCAAAAGTACTTGCATTTTCATAGGGATTTTTGGCAGACACATTTCTTTTAAATCTGAGGTACACATTGCTACTGGCAGATGGTATTCACTGAAATTATTTTGGTGATAAATGACAGAAACCTCAATTCAAGATGATTTTAGCAAAATAGGAAATTAATTATCTTACATGACAAAACAATTCAGAGAATGTTTGATCCAGAGACTCCAAATCTAGTCTCTCTCTCCATTTCTGTCGTCTGGCCTTCATCCTCAATCTCAGCATGGCAGCAAGAGGGCTGCTGATGTCTCCATGTCTGCATCTTTCACGTCAGACATGGAGTGGAAAAGTGGGTTGTCTTCCTGAAGCTACCACATAAATCCCTGAATTCACTCTGATTGTACCATCTTAACTCATGTGGCCATCTCCAAACCAACCACTGTAGCCAAGAGGATAAAACTATAAACACTGGATAGGCCTGAATCACATAATCCAAGCCTGGAGCAGGAAGTATAGTCCCACACAAACCACTTGACTGAGAATGATTTCCTAAGAAATCCGGGGGCTACAAGCAGAAGACTAGGGAGGGAGGCACAGGGGGAAGGAGAGAGAGATCGAGATGGGGAGAGAGAGTCAAGGAAAAAGGGAAAAAACAGAAAAGTATCTCGGAAAAAGGGAATGGAAAAAATCGGGAAAAAATCTCCCATTTCCTTTTAACACATGTCAAAAATGAATCTATGCTCTAAAGAATTTTTGGTTGTCAGAAATGGAAGGGCAAGTAGGGAGAAAAGAGGAAGAATTGTGAATTAATACAACTACATATGGATATTCCTGAGTCTGTCGTTTGTCATTCTCTAGGTAGGAAAGGAATTTAAAGGTCATCAATTCCAAGTGGTCACTGGATGCTTGAAACTCCTTCAGCCACACAGCCAGCATACAATTAACTTATGTCCTTGAATACTTCCCAGTGACAGGAAGCTCATGCCTCCGGTAGCTGATCACTTCATTGCTGAGTGTCTCCCATTGTTGGCTTATTAGTTCTCATAATGATCTGAAGTCTTCCTCCTTGTAACTCTGCTGGCTTCACTTCTGTCTTATTCAAGAAGGAAAAGTTTAATTTAGTGGGGATAAACTGGTAGACTATGGCCAAATCTGGATCTAGACAAGTTCGTTGCCCAGCACAATATAGTGAATGTGGTTGACTGCGGGTGCTTTGGTGGGCAGGCACAGCCCTTTTCCTGTAGCCTGCAACTCCCTGCTGTTCACACCCTGGGGACTTCGTATGTTTATGTGACCTGCCTGGACTGGGAAGGAATGAGACCACAATTCCTGGTCTAATTCTTCTTTCACAGAGTAGTCGGCCAGGCACTTGAAGACTCTTATGTCACAGATTAAAAAAAGAAAGAGAGCAAAAAAGAGCAGAAAATGGAACTGGAAATAACACAGCCTAGTGAATTCTTCCTTAAAGCATCACCTTGAGGGTAATGTATACTTTCTCCAGGGATACTGCTTTGGCAGAAGGATTTTCAAACTTCTCTTGGAATTTTTTTCAGAGCCTGAAGCATGTTCTTTGAATATCCTTAATGGTGGTGAATCCTCATTCTTTGGGGGTGGTTTTGATTTTTGGAAGAAGCTGGAAGTCATTGAGAGCTGAATGTTGACCAACAGGGTAGCTGGTGCATCTGCCTCATCTTTCTTCTTTGTGTCCAAAGCAAAGTGCAATGATGGGCTTATGAGTCTGAGATCCTTGCAGGTTCCTTTTAATTCATTCATTCATTTATTGTTTTATTTAATTTCATTAACTTAGTTACCAACACATTCAGCTTTCACATTTCAAAGGGCACAACAAATACATAATAAAAAGTTATTTTCCCTTCCTTTCCCCCAGTCATCTGGTTTACCTTCCATGTTTTGTGTGTATCCTTCCAGAAAGATACCTATGCATATCCCTTAATTGACGTGAAGAAGGCCCAGAGAGGTATTTCTAGGTAACGGAAGTAATGCTTGAATGCTGGCGGAAGAGCAGTGCAGTGCGCGTAAGCTCTGGTAGGTTTATGCCGAACGCAGGTGTCAATACTTTATCCTTCGGACCCTGAGAAGTCTCTATAATAGGAAGCAGTTTCCTAGCTCAGATACCTGAGCTGTGTGAGATAAGGTGGGTTACTTTTTCTCTTGAGCTTTGGTTTTCTCATCTGTAAAATGGGGATAATGTCAACAACTTCCTTCACAGGTTATCATGAGGATTAAGTGCATTGATGTATAAAAATGTCCTAAAGAGGGCGTTGATGGTTTATTTTATGTGTGAACTTAGTTCAGCCATGGTACCCAGCGGTTTAGTCAAACACTAGTCTAGATGTCGCTGAGAAGGTATTTTGTAGATGTGATTAACCTCTGCAGTCAGTTAACTTTAAGTAAAGCAGATTACCCTCCATTTTGTAGGTGAACCCCATCTAATCAGTTGAAAGCTTAGAGCAAAAACTGAAGTTTTCTAGAGAAGAAATTCAGCGTCAAGACTGTAGCCTAGAAGTCCTGCCCAAGTTTCCAACCTGCTGGCCTGCCCTGTGGATTTCAGCAAGACTGCAACATCAACTCTTACTTGAAATTCCAGCCTACAGGTTTGGGACTTACCAGCTGCCACAATTGTGTCAGCCAGTTTCTGAAAAATGAATTCTCTCTCTCTCTCTCCATATATATATATATTCTCTGTATTCTATTGATTCTTTTCTCCAGAGGACTCTGATTGATACCGAGGGAGAAAACTGCATTAAATAAACCCAGGTTTTAGTCCTGGCTCTCTCTCCGACTGGCTAAGTGGCTAAGCAGCCCTAGGAAAGACCCTTGATACTAATGAGCTTCTAGCATCATCACCTGCCTAATGCCTCTCAGCATTGCTGGGAAGGTGACCATCAGGAAAATGGTTTGTCAAGCATCCTATATGTGCAGGTTATAATTATTTGAGTCTGTCCTTTTTTGAATGCACACATATCCTTCAAGTCGTGCTTTGGTGGCTCCCAGACCTATAATCTCTTCAGAGATGTTTTCTTTCCAGGCATTGATTCTTGACTCTCTCTTTCTCAAGCTAATAGGGAATGAAATCCAATCTAGCCTCAGGTAGTTGTCAAGGGGGCTAGAGGGCTGCACCTAAGGCTCTGCACCCACTGGCAAGGGGAAGCAGAGTGAGGAAGGTGGGGGAAAGTGAAGGGAGGAACTTATGGAAGTGAGAGTCGGGGTGGGGTAGGGGAGGGGAAAGAGAGAGGAAGGAAGACCTGTGTTAAGATGGGTCCCCAGGGGGTCCAGGGCTGATTTGCTGGGGTAACTGGGTCAGCTCTGCAGATTGCAGACTGATTGCTGCAGATTAGCTGGGACCTAAAAGGGGCCTTGTCAGAGCCCATGAATCCAGTGCTGATATTCTGCTATTTCTCTTTTCTCAGGGATAGAGTAAGTCAAATCAGAGAGGGCTGGGGGGGTGGGGGGCGAAGCACTATGAATAACCTGCCTCCTTTGCCATCACAGTGCATCCAAACACCACTCAGTCCCATCTCCAATTGGCACTTGAGAGGGAGGAAACTTTCTGTGATGTCTCAGAGGCCCCATGTTGCTTCCCACCCCACCCTGGTGTTCTTTATTTCATCACTCAAATTTTTTCTTTCATACCACTTATCACAAGCTGAAATTATTTGATAAAAAATTATTTACCAAAAACTGCTCTCTCCGCCAGAATGTGCCACCTTATCTTATTTGCTTCTCCCCGTAGTGCAAGTTCCCAGCAGAGTGGTACATAGTAATGCCCCTAAAATGTTTATTAAAGAATGGATGAATACCATTTACTAAGGGGCCTCTGTGAGCCAGGCAAGGAGTTCAGAGCTGTTCAGGCATTTCTCATCTGCTTTTAATGATAGCTCTGTGAAGAAGGTATGATCATCTTTATTTTACTGATTAAAAAAACTAAAGTCCAGAAAGATCAAGTAACAAGTTCCGGGTCACACAATTAGACCTGGGATTCTAATCGAGGTTTCACTGACTCCAAAGTATATGATCTTAATTACTATACCAGGGATAAAATATGCATTTTCTGCAGTGCTGGCATCAATTGATTGGCAGTTGCTACAAGGAGTCCATAGCTGAAAAGAGTATTTAGGTAATGTCCACCTTGGTGGAGAAGAGTGCAGAGATCAATTAGTGATGTCTGCAAGAGATCTCTGCAAGAGGTGAAGTAGAATGTCTGGCAGCACATGTGCCATCTACTTTTCATTTTAACACCTATTGCCTCCTAAAGATGTGTACTAGAGGCAAAGAAAAAGAAAAGAGAAACTAGGAGGCAGAAATGCTTGACTTCTTTTCTGGCCCTGGTTTTCACCCCTTCTTGCTGAACTTATCTTTTCTTTGAAATGAGAACACATCTATCTATATGTTTGTTTGGAGAATAGAATGCAATCAGAAGTAGGAAAAAGTTTTGAAAAGTCTTGGAAGCAAAGGGTGTGATATTGCTTCGTAAGCTGACTTCATGATGCTTGAGGGGCTTTGGGTCACCTGATATTTCTGTGGGACTCCAATGCTTCTGGCAAAGGTGCTATTATTATGTCCCAAAAGCCTTTCAAAGGAAGCAGGGAAAGGGAATGATGGGAGGTGACAGCGAGGCTGCAGAGCTGGACTTTGGGGATTGGAGCCTGCTACACTTAAACTTTTGCAATCTGTTGGCCATGCGGTCATCATGATGCATTGGGAGTAGGACAGTAGATTGGTTAAGAGTGAGGCTTATTGAGTTTAAGTCTCAATATTACTGCTTACTGTGTAATCTTGGATAAGTGATTTAACCTATTTGAGCCTTGATTGCTTACATGAAATAGCATCTATCCAAGGGCCTGGTGTGAGAATTAAATGAGACAGTTTGAAGCTGGATGTGGGGGCTCATGCCTGTAATAGCAGCACTTTGGGAGGGCAAGGCGGGCGGATCACTTAGGCCAAGAGTTTGAGAGCAGCTTGGCCAACATGGTGAAACCCTGTCTCTACTAAAAAGACAAAAATTAGCTGGAGGTGGTAGTGTGTGCCTGTAATTCCAGCTACTTGGGAGGCTGAGACAGGAGAATCGCTTGAACCTGGGAGGTGGAAGTTGCAGTGAGCAGAGATCGCACCACTGCACTCCAGCTTGGGAGACTGAGTGAGACTCTGTCTCAGAATAATAATAATAATAAATTAAAATAAATAAATAAGATAGTTTATAGAAGAAAACAATATGGCTCCAGCACACAACAGCACGAAACGCATGTAAGTTACTGTCGTGAGGAATCTGTATGCACAAGTGGAAAATGGAGAATCAGAGCAATGACCTGAATCTATGTATGTTGTCCCAAGCCAGATAATTGGTGGTATTTTGTATTTTGTTTTCCTAGTTTTTCGCTTGCACCTGGATGTTCTGAGTATCCAGACTTAGTATTTTTCTCAGAAAGGAGAAAGGCAAGGTTGCTCAAAACTGTTCATCTCCTTGAAGTATCCAGTGTATAGTTCTTGCTGCTGTTAGGCCTTTCTCTAATTGAACAAGGGGAAGCATCACCCTCTCACTGGGTGTTGAAAAAGTGGGTTTTGGGAATATAAAATTGGGCACTGCCCCATTTGTCCATCACGAAACACACTGGCCCAGGACAGCCTTCCTTCTCTTCATCTTCTGTAAGAAATAGCTTAGGCCATGGCTGTGTATGGTGATAACTACCATTTATTATGGGGCAGTAATATTGTGCTAGGAACTTCATGCTCCTGACAGCCCTATAAGGTCGCCGCAATTGCCACTCCTGCTTTGCAGATAATGAGATTACAGCCTGGTATGTTTAACTCACCTATCTAAAGTTATACAGCCAGAAAGTAGCAGAGCTGGGATTCAAACCCAGGTCAGTCAGGCCTCAGCATCCCCATGCTAACGATTTAGCTTGACTATCTAATGAGAACTTTTAGTGAAGAATCTGTTTGGCAGAAGGGATGAAATGTCAGATTTATAAATGAGGGGCTGTGAGAGATGGTGGTGGGGGTTACAGCCATGGTTCTCCTGCCAAGCTGCCCAGTTGAATCCCCTGAGGAGCATTGATGAAATAGAGATGCCTTTCCCTACCCCCAAAGCTGTTGATGCACTTGATCTAAGATGGAGCCAGAGCTTTCCAGGTGATTCTGATGGGCTTCTAGGCTTGAGAACCCCTGGGGCAGAGGAAGAAGGTTTGGGGAGACATTTAGGAAATTCCTTGTGGTTAGGAACTTTTCCATTCCCTCTAAGAAGTAGCTGACTTACATTCTAGTTGGTGTACCTTTATCTCAGTATCTCCATTTGCAGGATGTGGGCAATGGAGCTTCACAGCATTGCAGGCTACTGGGTGGATAAACAGCTCATAATGTGCCATTTAAATGAGAAGCACTGGGATGAAGTGCTCCTGGGGCTTGAAGTGACCCCATTTTAGTTTCAGTGTAGGGGTGCCCGGGCCACATCCTAAGCAACTTAGAATTATCTGGACCCACTGACAGCAAGTGGTTAATCCTATAAAGCCAGTGTGTGAGGGATCTGCTCTCGCAGCTGGGGGTAACTGGGGAACTCTCACTGTCCCATCCTTTGGTTGAGGAACAGTGTGAGCCAACATATAACTAGAACCATTAATTGGCTTTCAATGTGGAGAATGAGATTTGTGGCCCTGCTCACTAAGGAAATATGAAATGGTAAACACACTTCCAGTTATGGATGGGGCTAAACACACCATTAAACTGAATGCTAATGGCTGCCTCCCGCTCCCTTCGAGCATTTTACCGTGGCAACCAGCAGGCGCCCTTTTCTTGCCTTCTCTTTCAGCTTCCCATAATTCTCTTCTGCCGTGGTTCTTTGGATGATAATGGGCACATGCCTAAAATAGTAGTTAGGAAGAGAAGAATAATTTATCAACAACAACAACAACAAAAGCAAATGAGGCTGGAGTCGGTTTCCAGTTCCTCATATTATTTGCCTGTAGACTGTAGCAATCTCAGGTGTTGAGAACAGGTGAAAACAGACTGAGATGAACATCTTTAATTCATGTGAGTGTCTTAAATATACTGCATGCTAAAGGCATCAAGCCCGACTTCTGGAGCTCAGTCACTAAGTGGTGGGAGCAGCATAACTTTGGGTTTAACAACAGGAAGACAGGCGTTTGACATACTTAAGTATAAATCTTTCCCTACTGCCTAGAGGCTGTGTGGCCTTGGATAAATAACCTTCCCTTTCTGTGCCTAAGTTTTCCCATCTGTAAATCATGGCTAATAATAATAAATTTTCTTCATAGGGCTATTGCAGGGTTGCAGTGGTTAAGGACAAATGGGCTTAAAGCTCTCAGTACAGTGCCTGCCACAAAGTACATTCTGGATAATCAATAACTATTCTGATGATGATGATATGATTAACAACTTGCTGGGCAACGTTAGGCCTATAACGTCCCTGAGCTTCAAATTTTTCATCTGCAAAAGGCAAGCTAATCATAGTACTTGAGTCATTTGCTTAAGCCTCTAGATAAGAATTAAATGATGAAAAGTACTTGGCACGGGGCTTGGCACATAATAAGAGCTCAAGGAGGACTTGCTGAATGAATGGGAAAAAATAAATGAATGCTAT